ATGTATATTTTTTATGTATTTTAGGAAATATGTAGTATTTTTATTAGCAGTTGGTCATACCATGTCAACGTCAACTACCGTGAATGAGATGGATGGTACTGTATGTGGAGATTCATTATCATCATCAGTAGGAGTGCCCACAACGAGTGGACCTCCTGGGGGGATGTCCTTGCAAGAGGACTTGGAAGCTGGTCGCGGTGATCATCGTGATACACAAACTAGTGGTAGTATTATTACGCTGGAGTTTCACCGGTTTGTAATACTCTGTGTAAAACGCGATGTGAAGTGAATTAGATTACAATGAAGAAGTCAGTTTCGAGAATGCGCTCAGAATCTAAAATCGATCCTGTGCTTGGTCTTATTAAAACTCATGAGAGATCTATCCAATGCCACATGTACAATGGAGTTTCACCACCCTAGTGATGTGAAAAACATATTTCACGACTACTACAGGCCGCGAATATCGCCGAGTTTTTCACCGAGTATTACGTGCAAAACGGGTTGTGAAACTCCACTAATATCAATATAAATGTTGTTGATTATACTACCGTTCGTATACCATTGCAGAGAGCTCGGTGAGATCTTTCAAGTGGTTCTGCTGCTGCTGCTTCAGAGCTGTCACTCGTCGGGAAATTACTAATGATGGGTTCTCTTTTTAACACCACTTTGTATTTATATATCAATGGAGTTTCACCGTAGTGATATGGAAAACTCATTTCACGACTACTGCATATCGCCGCGAATATTGCCGAGTTTTTCACGGAGTTTTACGCCGCCACTTCACGTAAAACGGGTTGTTGTGAAACTCCAATATCGTATAATGCATGTATATATTAGTGGCTAACACTGGTGTGTTTTCTCTCAGCGCGTCGTAGACGATCTCACCGACGTGCGGTACGGCGTAATTTGCAGCATCGTATAAACGACTACACTCGCTGTGTTTTCCTATTGTTCTGTAGTTTGCTGGCGCTCACGTTGATAATACTCGCTGGTAGTAGGGGGAGGGGAGCACTTATAGGATGGATATACTTCTTTGTTTTGGGGGAATTTATATTTGATTTCCTCACTAATTAAATATATAACTATATATTATAGTATATAACTATTATAGTAATTACTCACCTGAAATTAGTATATATGTTTGATTTCCTCACTAATTATAGAAGTTCGTATATGAGTTCGGGTAGAAGTGTACAGAAATCAATAGGAATTTTCGGAAAATTCTCACATGAGTGTTGGAGTAGGAATATATGTTTGGTTTCCTCACTAATAAAAGGAGTTTGTATATGAATTTGGGTAGAAGTGTACAGAAACCAATAGGAATTTTCCCAAAATTTTCATAGGAGTGTTGGAGGAATATATTTTTGCTTTCCGCAGCTGCTGAGTTGTGGAGTTTTCCAGAGCTACATTATATGAGTTTACCCACAAATTTTGAAAGACCGACCAGAATTTCCCGAAATTTTTTATATTGTCACCTCAACACATGTAGTTGACGATGTGAATATTTCGCCGTACGGTATAAGACTGGGATAGAATTCATATGGTCACTTACATTTGTTGGTGACAATAAGAAAATTTTGAGAAAATTTTGGGAAATTTTCTAGTTCATTATGTTTTCACACTTCTTAGCTAGTTCGTATATGAGCTCCTATAGTTAGTGAGGAAACTCTTCAGAGCTTAGCTGAGGAAAGCGATTACATGTATTCCTACTCCAACACTGTATAGGAAA